ACCAAGGTTGAGAAACACTGCAGTAGAGTATCTTTGGGGAAGCTACTGGCACCAATGCATTCCCCCTGGTTAGTGTTCAGAAATATAACAGCTTGAAAACAATGCCAGGGAAAAGGAAGGGAAAATAAGGTGGTGTTACAACAGGGGGAAGGGATGGTAAACAAAGCAACCCAAACTGTATATTATAACTTATTAAATGTACAAGAATGATAAATGTTAAAACACTTGTAACCAAACGACATGCTATATGTGATGATGGGTTTTTTTTCTGTTTTGTTTTTTGTTTTTGTTTTTTTTTCATTGTTGTGGGTATGTGTTGTCTATATAACAAAAAAAAATTAAAAAAAATTATAAAGAAAAAAATTAAGAGAGATGCTGCTCATAAACTGCAGTTTTCCCCACAGGAAAAGCAAGTTAGAAATTTTTCTAATTGCCATTATTTTCGGCCTCAGCATCATCAACAACCCAATCCTTCTCTCTCTCTTCATGGTACTTAGTCCCTTTGTCCCTTTTGTGTTTCTTTAAAGCAATTCCTGTTTCTCTGAGTCCTTCTTGTGCCAAAACCGAAGGCAGAAGCCATGGTGTCAGCAGTGCAGAATAAAATGGAACGGTTATTTTTTTTCTTCAAAACTCTTTGGAGAGTCTACAGAATTCTATTTGCCTTTTTTACAGCATGATCACAGTGATGATTCCTAATAATTTTAATCAACAACTGTTAATTGTATTCCACAATATTTTTATTGACATTATTACCAAGCCAGATATGCCCAAAGTCTGTGTATCTGATCTTTGTTATCTCAATGAAACCTATTGGTTTTACTCGACTTGATTTCCATGATTCAAGTTCAAGACAATATATCGACAGTACAGTAATAAGCAGTTCAAGTGAGAAGAAAGCCATCAAAGCAGGGCTGCCCACCACCACTTAGCCCATAACCTGCGGCTGCTGACAGGTCTCCACTGAAAAGTTGTTATTGGCCTGGCTGAACTGGTTCATGAATGTGGCAATAGTTGTTTTTTAAGTATCTCTTTTCTGGCTTTATTTATTTCTTCCTTACTCACATCATTCTTATTTATGTATTTATTTATTTGTCACATTTGTATGGCTGCCCTTTTCATGGAAAGTGACTCTGGGTGGCATAGTGGTTAAACGGCCACCTTTAGCTAAGCACAAAGCAGGTTTTCCCACAGAAAAAAATGTGTCACCTTTTCGGCAGGCATCAGCATCCTTCCTTTGTATCAGGAGGTACGGGGGCGACTCTGGGAAGAACGGCAGCAGCAGCAACTGCAGCAGGGCTGGGAAACCACACAGTGCCAGCAGGAGGGGCCACAGGGTCTCGGTGCCTAAAATGTCTCTGAGGGATGGGGGAGAAAGAAACACTGTTGTTCCTTCTGAAGGGGTTGGATGACCGGAGGGAGCCAAAGTTAGGGGGGGTGAAGCGGGCACCATCTCTTTGACCAAAGAAAGCCAAGTGCCCTTCCCACCATCACAGCCTGAACTGAGGGGAACCCAAAAAGGGAGAGCAGTTTATTCCTCAGAGGGAGTTTTCATATCTGTCTAAAGGAAACAAGAAGACCATCTCTTTCCTTGGCAGAGCAGGTGGGAGAACTGCAGCTGAGGACAGCCAAACTAATTGGTCTTCAATGGGAATGGAGGTTGGGAGGGCAAGAGCTTGTCTGGCTGGATAGGCTCATGGGTGGTGGACTCACCTTAAGCCCAAGATTTGCCCCAGGGCTTTTCCGAGGGAAAAAAATATGGCTGCCGTGGTGGTGGCGAAGCCTCGGAACTTCTTGGGGGAAATTTCGCTGAGATAGGGTCCATGAATATTCAGGCAGAGTCCTTCAAGAGAAGAATCACCAAAATCAAAAGGTCTCCCCCACACACCTATTCTGATTTAGGGGATGCATTTGGTCAGAGGTCGGGCCCTCCTCCCCATCATACCTGCACTGATGCCATAAAGAAAACGGCCCATCAGAATAATTTCAAAAGACCTGGCCATCTTACTGGAACCAATAAGAAGAGCTCCCACAATTATAATAAAATTGCTGCAAATTAAAGTTTTCTTTCTGAAATAAATCACAATCAAGTGTTAGAGACTCCAACCACTGAGTATTTCCCACTGTTGAGTGATTACTCTGTGACTCAAACTAATTTCAAGGCTTTCAGTTCTAATTTAAGATAAAAAAGGGGGGGGAAATGACAACTCTCCCAATTATATAGTCACGGACATCAACATATCTGAGAAAATCTCACAGCTATAAGACAAGGGGCCATCATGAAAACTTCATCTTGAGGAAACTAGAAATTAGCCAGCTGCAAGGGGGCATCGCAAAATCCAAACAGACAAACTGCTGTCAGGGGGGGTCTGCAGACCAGAACCATTTTGAAGAGACAGGGGGAAAGAACAGGTTTCTCAGATGACCAAGAGGAACCAGCAAGTTCCTTGGTAGGTCAGAGGAAAACTCTTCGAATCGACAATGGGGGTGGCAGCCATACCCAAATGACCACTTTCAAGCTGGGGCAACCGGACTAAGATTTTTGAGCTGGAGCAAGGTTGGAACAAAGTGTTGAAACCGAGTGAGTGATTGGCTAACTCAGAGGTAAAAAGAAAATTTAAATTTGGATTTAAAGGGATCCCGGAGTGGAATTAGCAGCTATTTGGCATTTGGGAAATTTCATGGAGGAAGAAAGTTGAAGCGGAGGCTAAAGCACTTAAAGCCTCAGAAGATCTATGTTTTATCTGGATTGGAAAATACTAAAATTGACAAAATGAAAGTTCTTTTTTTTGCTTTAAAAAAAATAAAAGTGGTTTTTGACAGTTATTGACAATTAATGCATTAGAGTGTACCATGGAAATAGGTCACCTGCTGGTGAGAAGAAATCATTACAATACTTAGAGACAGATGAAAGAGAAAGTAACAGCTAGAGAAATTGACCTTGGCTACAGGGAAAGATACACTGAAGCAGTGAGAACTTTTAAGGAGTGCTTGTTTTTGCAGCAGTGTTTGGTTTTCACTGTTTAGGGTTGTGGAAGAAAAAAACCTCTCAATTTGGACTGGACTAACATTAAAATTGGACTCTGGACTTTAAAGGGAAAGAAAAAAAGGACTGCATGGACTTTAAATTTTAATTAAATGTGGTACATTTTTTAAAAAAATAAATCTTAAATTAGTTAAATTAGTTACTGGCATTATGGAGCTCTGGATGTATAATGAACTATTTGAGATGTTAAAAAATGTGTTTGAAACTGTAAAAAACTCAGAAATGCAGATAGAGTACTCAGACCAGGACACAAGGCAGCAAACAGGAAAACAGGGGGTAAAAGGGCTTAAATGAAGAGCAAGAAGACGATGTGGGAACTGAAATTAAAAACAGTTAGATGATTTTACTGGGATTTACAGTGATACAAAAAATAAATAAACAAAGGGGAATGCCTCCCCGCCCCCCCAAAGAAACAATCGAATAGCAAAGAAGAGAAAAGTGGGAATAGGTGTGGAAAACCCCTGGGGAAAATTACTAGAACAATAAAAGCACAAAGGAGAGAAAGGATTTGGAAGAAAAGAAATAAGAATTATAAAAATAAGAAAAAGAAAAAGAAGAAGGTAGGAGAATGGGAGCAAAGAAGAAAATTAAAAAGGAATACCCTGTTTTCCCGAAAATAAGAATTGGGCTTTTGAGCACATGCACTAAAATAAGCCCTCCCTGGAAAATAAGCCCTTCCCAAAAATATTGCAACACAGCATCAGCCATGAGGTGACCATGCTCACTGCCTCCTGCACTTCAAAAATAATAAGACCTCCCTGAAAATAAGGCCAACCGCTTATTTCAGAGGTCAAAANTCTCAGATCCAGCTTTGCTTAGCTACTATCTACTTATAACTAGTAAAAGTACTCTTAACTCTGCAAAATGGAGTTGAGTGGTTTCTTTGTTATTAAGTGAAGCAGCCTTGACACATAGTAGATCAGATTTTTGTCTATAGGAAGCTGAATAATGCTTAGTGCTTTGAACCCAATTTTTGTTTCTGGTTTCCTGTGCCTGATGTTTATAGACAGAATTGCAATTGACTTTTGAAATAGCATCATATTAGATCATTTGGACTTTTTAAAAGCATACTTTATATTTGTGGAGATTCTGAATACCTACAGTATTAATCAGATTTTTTTAAAAAAATCATCAAAACCATGATAATATTTTAAAGAAAATATCCTTGTACTTTTTTGTAACTACACATCATCTGGTAAGTAGAGCCCCATATTTGATACTGTGCCAAAATGGGCTTTAGGCTATTCATGGTTTCCAGCAGATTCAATTGCTTATCTTAAGAATTTGGCAAGCTCTGGATGGAGAGGCCCAAAAGACTAGAGAAGAACAAATATCACCTTAATTTTCAAAAGGAGTAGAGAAAACTAACCATACCCCTACCCCCCCCCCCCGGAGGGTGGGATGATTCAGTCTCTTAATTTGACTTTCTGGGCTGCAGTTCTTACTCTGTTGAGGTACCCACAGACACTTAACCCAGGTCTCCATTTTCATTTGCAGAGCCCTGTTGCTCCAAACATCGGGGCATTTTCAATACTAAAACTGCTACAAAAATACAATACTTTCATACTTTATATTTTAGCCAGGGGGTAAGAGGGGCAAACAGGAATTGCTTTGCAGCCCCATTGGGGATTTTTCTCTTTCCTGAAAAGCATTCCTGACAAACACTTTCAACTTTCCTCCTTCAAAACATACTCAAGTTTGAGAATAAAATTAAGAGAGATGCTGGAAGAAGGCAGGGCTTAGCAGTGAGAAGACGGACTTTCAAGCTGTTCCTGAATCTCTTTCTATTCCGAAGCATCTAGACGGTTCCTTTTTGGACCCAAGCTGTCCCGAAGAGACAGTGAAAGGTAGGGGAGACCCAGTGGTCCCAGAGACGTTCGCAAAGTCTCTGGGGACCTAGGAAAAACCTTCTTTGCCAGT